AAAAAAAAATAATGATTAAATTAAATCTTTTATTAAAACATTTACTTCTTATTATTTTTGAAGGAAAAAAAAATAACTTTAACTTCTATTTACCAAATAAAATTAAAATTGTTATATTTGTTATTTGACGAATAAATATATGGAATTATCACAGGTAAACTTCCATGTCCACAAAGGTAACTAGAAATATCGTAAGAATGAAATCTGACGCCCAAAATTCCCTAGGACTTTGGCAATGTCGGGGTTCAAACTCAGGAAAAATGAGATTTCCACTGCATTCCCCCTGAGCCTTTACCAGTTTGCTACAACCGAAGTGGTTCTTACTTTAATGGCGTGTTTGGTATCTAGACATGATAAGACAGAACATAACAGTTGCTCATACATCATTGGAAAAAACAAAACAGATAAAAAGACCAATTTACTTCTAATGAGTTGTTTATATATTTTGATTAATTCATATAATTTATCAAATTATAATAAAACAATTATTTTTATAACAAAATATATCATTAGATAGTTTTCAATAAAATAATTAAAATAACACCAAAATATAGTTTCTAGTTTTTATTTTATACATCTTCTGTAATACTTTTTATGATAAATATTTAACAAATTATTTAAATTAACCAAAATATAAAAATAATATTTCAAGGACAAGAAAGTGAAAGTTTAAAGAATATAAAATACAATTATAAAATTTAAAGAATGAATAAAATATAAAAAAAGAGGATGAATATTTAATATTTTAGAAGAGAATTAAGTTTTATTTTAAGATTAAATTGATAAAATATAGGTTTGTTCCATAGGGTGGGGGTGGAACACGCATATTCCACTTTATTCCATATAAAAGTCCTGTCACACGTAAAAAGTGATCTATATCCTGTTATGTCTTGTCCAGTGTACCAAATGCAACCTAATATATATAATAGACTTATCCAAAGGACCCCAATACAATATTCCAAACATATTCCATTAAGCTTCAATCATAATAGTTTCAGACACAATTTATATAGGTCTATTGTAGCAAGCAAAGCAATTAGAAATAGAAAACAATAATAGCAGTTTAGCAATCACTCACATTGTAGTGTAGTAGTTATATAGCATAACATGCTTATTGAATCAGACAGTTCCCTTGAGTTTCTTAGTGATGGTAGCAATGTGCTTACCCTGATGGAAAGCTTGCTGCAACTCGAGCTCCGATGGTTGTCTCGACCCGTCCCCGGCATACGTCCCGGCACCGTAAGGACTTCCACCTTTCACTTTCTCCATTTCAAACATTCCACTTCCAAATGTATATCCAATTGGCACAAATATCATCCCATGGTGGACAAGTTGAGTAATTGCAGTCAATCTGTGTCATCAACATATAATTAAACAATATCCGCGTTCCGACCCACTGTACCAGATATTGTCCGTTTTAGAACATGTATAATGGATGAGGTATTCAGTCTCATATAAAGGCAACTTTTGTTCCCCTCCCCAATCAACGTGGGATCTCACAAATTCATACAAATCAACTTAAAAAATAAAAACCATGGTGGAAGGTAATGTTACCCCAAAATTTTGAGTTTATAAGGAGCTCACAGATCTAGTTTTTGTACATGTGGAACGGGTTGTTACATAAATGTACCGGCTGCAGAAGCGGTTATCAATAAAGAAGTGTAGCATCCCCAGCCAACCGTATTAGATATTGTGCGATTTATCCACACTGGACTCACGGATTTAAAACGGGTCTGATAGAGGAGGTATCCAGTCCCTTATAAGGCAACCGATGTGGGATCTGACAAGAAGGTAGTTGTTGGAGTCCCACTCCCACATCGGCTAGACTTAAAACCGTTCTCCTGGATATATGTTGGAATCTCCCCTTTCTCCTCAATGGCTCTTTTGGAGAGTGATCTGGGGGTTCCACATATTCTCACAGTAGTTACAGAACATAAGTATATAATTATTAGGATATATGGGTACTTACGCAGTAGTTTCTTGGCCACCACCTTGAGATCCAGTGCTATAAAAGATACCAGCAGGCTTGCTAGCAAGCTGTTGTGTTCTCCAAAGACCACCGGTGGCGTCAAAAAATGATTTAAACTGAGCAGCCATCATACCATATCTCGTGGGGAATCCGAAAATAAATCCATCGGCTTCAGGAAGTTCGTTTGGTGTGATTATGGGCACATCGCTTTTAGGAGGTGCACTCATCTTAGCAAGCACCTCATCGTTAAGAGTCTCGGGCACCTATGATCCAAACAGGACAAGTGGAATTTGAGTTTAGAATATGAGGATTTTATGTTTCATTTGCATATTAGTTGCTCTCACATCCGAAGCCAGGAAGATAGGAATCGAATCTAGAATTCCATGTCTACCCTTATTATGAGATGGAAAAAATCATTACTCTCTCCATTATTAAGGGGAAAATTGTGATCTTGTTCGTCAGCAGCTTAATGAGCTTAATAGGACTCACAGCTTATCTTGTCAGCTATACATGACTGTTTTGTAGTGGCTTAATGATATAGAAAGCGGCTTATTCAGTAAGCTTCTAAGGGGGGCTTTATGCAGAAAGCCAAGTTTTTTTTCCAAAACTTGTCCCTTCCAATTAAAAAAACACGCTACTTCCATTTATGAAATAAACATTCCCAAACAAAAACCTTCCCAATCTATACAAACAAATTGAACCACACAGACAACTTTATCAATAAAGGAGTTAATGGAAAACCAATCAAACATCCCCAAAAAGTGTAATAATTATATATTTCTAAAATTAGATGTCTTTTTCATTGTGGACATATCATTTTAGGACGGAGGGAGTATTAAATAGATTAATAAGTTGGTTGATTAAAGTTTAAGTAATAGGGATCAAAGCAAGTAAGAGGCTAAGCGTTGATTAAAGTTTACCTGATAAGCGCTTACCAGGTGTCATTTACCTTACCGGTTGGGCATAGCAAGGATCTTACCCGGTAAGAGGATAGCAAGGACCGAGAATCTTACGCAGTAAGTGAGAATGAAGACTCTTACTCAGTTAGCACTTTCTAGGTAAAAGACTATTATAAACAATCCATTTTGATGGCCAAGAATGTCACTCGGTAAGATAAGTGAGGATGATGACCTTTGAAGTAAGCATTTGGTAAACGGCCCCTAAGCTTTATTTCATCCGTTATTTCTAAAATCATGTGACATAATAAGAATGCTTGTGTGATCTTTTTTAATCTATGATCTTTGCACTACGAACATTTAAATGAAGAACTACAGATGTTAATCAATCGTTTTAACATATAAAAAAGAACTAGAGAGGAAACATCTACCTGCCATAATTTGGCTTCAACTCCTTCGACAGATGCAGCTCCTTTCTTTATCTCTTCAGCTAGCTTCGCTACATGTCCGTACATGGAATAGTACCTGCCACAAGAAGGAAAAACGTTAATTGCCAGCAAGCAGAAAATTGTTCCCAAAACAGATGTTGTATAATAGTATACCATGATCAATAAGCTTACATCTTAAATAACAAAAGGTGAGTTCCATTCTAGAGGAATTTTAAATAAAGATTCTGATTCAAGATATACAAGTTTTTATCTACTAAGGGGCTGTTTGGTTGGTTTTTCATTAAGTCTTGTATGGATAAAGTTGACCGAATAAGCAGTGACAGTGAGTCCAATTAAGCTCATTAAGTTGTTAACAAAAAGGTCAAGGATGATGTGTATGTTCTATACTATTACTTCCACAGTTCCACCACACTGTAAAATAATCTTCCTATCATAGTTTATCTTACAGTTAATTTGGGGGAAATCGGTAGATCAGTAAATTTGCTTGAAACTTTTCTCATGTGCTGGATTTTGGAGAAAATTTGTAAATTTGCTTGAAGATTACCTTACTCATCACTTGCAACTTGCCCTGGAATAAGTCCAACTGATTTAAGGTTTCTGATTCAACCTTAAATCTAGCATCTTATCACCTTTGGCACTTCTTTCATTGTTCACTTTGCTTTTATGTTCTTAGCTGTATTATACTCAGCCAAATGCTATACTCCAGCATTCATTTGACCAGTATTTGACTCTTGATCTGCCCGAATAATGCATAGAATGACATGAAGCCACCAAAGCACTCATGCCAAACACAAATATTACTCGTTTGTTAGCAGCTTAATGTGCTTAATGAGACTCGCAGCTTATTTCGTCAGCTATACATGACTATTTGGTAGTGGCTTAATGATATAGAAAGTGGCTTATTCAGTAAGTTTCTTGAGGGAGCTTTATGCAGAAAGCCAAGGTTTTTCCAAACCTGTCACTCCCAATCAAAAAACACTCTTTCATCTATGAATAAAGTATAAACCCTCCCAAACAAAAACCTTTCCAATCTATAATGACAGATTAATCCACCTAGACAGCTTTATCCATACAAAACTTAATGGAAAACCAACAAAACAACCCCTTAGTGACCAAGTGTTATGTGGTAAAACATCTTGCATTCAATCTTTGATCACAAAATTTCAGATATGGTCATTGGTCTTGGGAAATAAATATTGTTCAAGAGTAACAGAAGATATACTCTTCACATAAACAAAAGAAAGAAATGCAGTACGGTGCTCCTAGTGCCTGATTATTATGGAGAAGCAAACACATGTGGATTAGATACCAGGGAAGAGATCAAGAGAAGTTCTACTAATCATTTCTCTAATGGTTATCTCCAGAGTATGTGACAGATACTCGAATTAACTTCCCTTAAATGTTGTTTCATTTATGGGAAAGATAAGGTGCTATGTTCTTGATGTTATAATTTAGGAAACATGTATGCGGTGGTCTACATATCTCTGCAAAGCAGTAATTAGGTGGTCCGGAAGCTTCCTCTCTCCCAGCAAGCAAGAAAGTCAAGCCAGGAAGTCCTTTTCTAATTCTGGTGCTTTCGGACTTGGCCAATCATGAATAAGATCAGTTCCTGTGTCTATCACTATCGTCCTATTTTCTCTCATTTGCATCCGATTAAGCAAGTTACTAGAAACTCGTTTCATCAAAAGCAAAACCTTGTGCGGTTAGCTCAACTGGTAATAAGGCTTGGGCTTTGGGGGATCCTCCTTAGAGGTCAACGAACTAATGTAACCATTTCAGGGGTGATTAGAGGAAAGGACTTCCATTCATATAAAAGAAGGTGCTTCTGTCCCCAATCCTTGAGCTCTCAAAAATCAGAACCATGCTGCCTTTTGGCCCAAACACTTGATATATTTTTTGTGTTTCTAAATTCTATATCACAAAATGTGAAAAGAACAGATCATGTGGTCTCAGACCAGTAGCTTGACATGCCTAAAATACCACACCTTGAGTCCTTCATGGACAAAAGCTGTCTGTGTGGATTAATCTATATATACATTATTTCCCTTGTTTAGTGACGTTAATCAACAATCAAATATCACAATCAGAACAATATTACATGTAAAAATTCTGAGAAAATTTTCAGCACCTCCAAAAATCGCGGCAGAGGACAAACGAATGCTTCTAGCCAAACATACACAAAGTAGATCTAGAAATAAATAAAAAAACCAATGCAGATTGGAGATACTCCTTTCCTCATCCTACCTAAGCTCATTAATTATACACCAATCACACACAATCGTCAAGCTGAAGCATATGTTATGAATATTTCAAATTCAAATCGTTCATCGATACCAAAAAAAAACACTCCGCGAAACTCAAATCAACCGATCAATAACATAAACACAGATTACTTGATGGAGAATAAAATCTAATTGAATTAAAAATCATCAAAAACGAGTAAAATGAAATCAAATAAGCAAATAGCCATCGGCAACGCAGCTGGCATCAAATGAGAGAAGAGTTAAAGAATACATACACAATATACACTTTTGTAGCCATTGATGAATCCACAGACGTTGTTTCTAGTTTCTGATCGATGATGAATGAATCAGTTATCGGTTCCGATTCGTCGAGAATTGAGTTGAGAGAGCAACAACGAGCACTAATTTGAGTAATTTGACTTCTGGCTCCTACGTCCCCTATTTATACTGAAAAGGAATCCTGACTACTAAATCAATTTACTATTTGGTTATTTCATTTTATAAATATTAATTTATTATATTATAATTATATACATTTATAAAAATTCTATATAACATTTATTAAACTTCATACATAATTTATATTATATTATATTATATTATATATTTATGTCTGTATGTTTGTGTGATTAAACGAGAATAAAGTCAAAATAAGAAACAAAAAAACAGTCAAACCACATATAAATCACATATGATTTTACATGCGATTAAGAAACCCAGTTAACGTATGGTTGAGTGGGCGACCTAACCTCTGATCTCAAATCACATGTGATTTTACATGTAATGTCGGTGTAAAAATTACATTTGATTAGGCTGTTTTTGTGTTTTTTTTTATTTAGTTATTGTTATTGTTATTGTATGAACCTGATATATATATATATATATATATATATATAGGGGTCCATTCAAGGAATAATTAACTAGTTTGTGGTAACCGTGAGATTCAATCTCAACCACAAATCAATAGATAAATTAAGAAATTTATAATTTTGGTAATTTTGAATTAAAATTTTAATGTAAGGACATTTTAGGTATTCTACCTCCTCTCTCTCCTCTCCTCTCTATGTACCCGTCCTACAGTAATACCACTGTGATATCTAAAATATTGACTATGTTAAACAAAAGACACAATGTGATACCCAAGCACATGTAAGATGCATTGTGATACCACTGTGTTACATCTCCGATCGACCACACAAACGACRYCAATGTGATACCCAAACACATATAAGATGCATTGTGATACCACTGTGGTGTCATCGGAGAACGATGGCCGGAGGACGGTGGACGGGGACGGGGAGAGGAGAGATGAGAATTTTAAAATACCTAAAATGTCCTTGCATTAAAATTTTAATTCAAAATTACCAAAATTATAAATTTTCTAATTTATCTATCGATTTGTGATTGATATTGGACATCACGGTTACCACAAACTAATTAATTCTCATTTGATTAGGCCCCTATACATACATACATACATACACACACACACACACGCATATATATATATATATATATATATATATATGCGAAAGATCGTGTGAGAATGAGAGTTAAGGTGATAAGTCGTAAGAAGGGATCTGGACTCTTGATCACCTTTAATCTCAAACTCACTCATGAATCGTGCTTGATACGGGGGATTGATCTGGTGCATCTCGTCATTTCATCTTCGTGCATTTCATCATAATGTGCATCCAATGGTGGAGATCTTTTCTTACATTTCTCACATTAACTCTCCTCCTGACCGAAACTCAACCATATTATATACATATAGACTTGGGATCATGTGAGAACAAAGGTTTTTAGTAAGACCTGTAAGACCAATTCTCAACCCTAGGATTAGATCTACAATTTGAACATTCATAATCACAAAAATTGCCACGAGACTTCCCAATAATCACAAAATTGTCATCATGCAACTTTAGACTATTAGATCATTAGCTTATAAAGTTGATCAATGAACATAAATTGGTCTTACGGGTCTCATGAAAAACCATTGGTCTCACGTGAACCAAACCTAGAGGTTCAAACAAGAACACCTCCATTTTACGAGAACACAAGAACACCTTTATCACATGTGATAATACGCGTGAGGGGACCCTGTAATATGTGGACAACGTGTTCTACGACTTAGGTTGCGTCAAAGGTTGTCCGTGTCTATGATTTCGCATCACATGTGATGGTCTTAATGGATTATAGTATCATATCAACAACACCCTTATCACATGTGATAATACTTATGATATGGCTTAGTGGTGTAATAGCGACTTGGCCCTCAACCAAGATCGCATCGGAAATCGTCTGCGTCTCTGATTTAGTATCACATGTGTAAAAAACTCTACAACTTCATATGCATTTTGGGTTAATGTAATTGTTCTTGTATTTGTTTATTTATATTGGGGTGTAAATAATGTGAGTCGAGCTTGAGTATCAATATACTCGACTCGAACTCAATAGTCATTTTTTCAAACTCGAAGTCGACTCGAAAACTCGTGAGTAGTTAAAAAATAAACTCGACTCGAACTTAATTACAATTTTTTAAACTCAAACTCGACTTCGAACTCGTTTGAAGCTCGAACCAAGCTCGAACTCGAACTCAAATCAAACTCATTCGTCGAAATTTTATGAAATTTTAGAATCTTCTCTTATAAATTATAAACTTAAATGTCTTCTTTTAAATTTTAAAAAACCAAAAGGATGCATCTCAAACTTCATCATAAAAAAAACAAAGTTACGAACTTCATTCATCTCCCTCTCTTTTTATAGCAATTTTCCATCTTCTTTTACAATGTTTCTTCCAATGCGGGGCAACTTCACCAACATTTCTTTAGTTTTTTTTTTGTCTTTTGTAATATGATTTTAATAAAAAAAATATTAATATAGTTATTGTAATTAAAAATGCACGATATTGTTCAAATATCCAAAAATATAAGACACTTTTATTACATTATATAATGCATATTATATTATAAAATTGATTATATTTTTAAAACTAATTTTATATAAAAAAATTGATTATCTCATGAGCTTTTCGAGTGGAGTATTTGGTAGCTTGACTCGACTCGTTAATATGACGAGTCGAGTTCGAGTTTGAGCCTTACCTATTCGAGTCAAGTGTTGACAGAGTCGATCTTGAATAACTCGTGAGTTGTCTCGTATCACTTACACCCCTAATTCATATTATCAGACAATTTTATTGCATGAGATATTAGTGTATATTCACATACGAATTTGCACCAAGTTTATTGGCGAGATGATATCAAAATAGCTTTATAGTAGTTAGTATTCACGTGTGAATGAACACATAAAACCACAAGAAAATTTGTTGATGTTATATTTCATTATTCATTCACATGTGAATAAATATATAAACTACATGTAACACTAGAAAAACACCTTATAAACAAATTTGATAATGTTTCTATATTACTATTCATTGACTTGTAAATCATACCAAATTTGATAATTTTCTATTTTAACACTTATTTATATGTGAATTTATACATAAACCACCAGAAAATTTAGTAACGTTTATATCTTATTGTTCATTCAATAAGTTTGATTTTAAAATATTTATTATTCATATGGTCTCATGTGTTTTATTCATGTATTTGTATGTCTGTGTGTTCCATATATGAAACATGTTTTTGTTTTTTTAAAGTACAAGTATTTATATACGGTAAAATGCAACAATTAAACTCACACACCCTCCTCACCTTTGGTTGGTTTAAACCCCTAACCTCCTAGGAGGCCCAGAAGACTACGATACCGCTAAGACAAAGATATTTTGGTAACATATTTTTGTTTTTTTAACACGGAAACAATAGCATGTTTCATATGTGCTATTTAAAACGTGAAAACTGATTCGTAGGTTTGTAACATATATTTGTATTTTTCATTTCATTTGCCCTACACACATCCACATACATATATCAGACGAGGGTAGTTTTGTAATTTGATCTCATCCCATTCTTTTTTGTTTTAACTATTATGATAGAACAAAGACACAAATTCAAGTTCCTTCAGGACCTCTTAAGGATTTGCCTTACTGTTGACTTAAAAACCTGATAAACTTAATTGATCCACGTATAAATTAATCCAGAAACCCACAATCACGAGAGGGAGAAAATTCAAGGATTGTTTATCCAAACACTTACCCAATAGATGCTTATCAGTAAGAGTCAAGGCTCTAACTTACTTTATCGGGTAAGATTTTAATTCATTAAAACGGTGTTGTATGCAACCATGTACCCGATAAATACTTAACAGGTAAGACTCTCCATCTTTATCATCATTTTTATCAGGTAAGATTCCCGATGCTTGTCATGTTATCCAATAAGGTAAATAATGGACTTGGTAACCATTTAGTAAACGACTATTTATCTCTATAATTAAGGACAAAATCATAATTTTATTAATTAAAAAGTGTTACACATTCCTAAATATATATATATATTTTATTGTAGAAATAAATTTTAGTAGGAAAACAGCAATTAATTAAGAAAAAATAGGAAAGCGACGTCGTAGGGGAGATGAGGGTTAGTTGAAGATGTGGGGTCCATGAGGGAATGATGGGATGTTGGTGTCACCAACCACCATCATTTTTTATTGCGAGAGACGTCTCCGTCTCGCTAAAACAATTCCCTACACAAACGTGTTTCTTTTTTTTCCAGGTGGGTCCCTCCTCTGAGTTGGCCCCGGAAACTCGGAATTGATTTATCAAATTTCTGTTTAAATAAATATTGGTAAATAATCTTTTTTTTTTTTTGAAAGGCAATATTGGTAAATAATCTTATAAATAATTTTTTTAAAATTAAAAAAAATAATACAGTAAAATGCATCTCGATTTTAATATTTTATTTTATTTTGTTTTCTGTCAATGTTATAGTATAGTTTTATGTGGTTTTGAGAAAAAAGATAATGCTTTTATTTTTAAATAAAATATAAATTTGAAGATATCTTAAATTTTTTATAAAAATATATCGACATTATTATCAAATTAACTACTTAAAAGTTCTTGTTTTGTTGTGTAATTTATTTAATTCAATTTTTTATTATAATTTAATTTATGTTTAATAATGAAATTTTTCATAAACATAATAATTAAGTATTCTGTTATAATACATTGATTATCTTAATTATATTTTAAATTTTTTATATTTAAAATGAAATGTTTATCCAGTATTTAATTATGTTTATCTGCAATTAGTTACCGAATTCAAGATTGGGTTATTTACTTATAATCTTGAATTTTAAGTAATATGCATCAATAAACAGTATTTCATGTATAAAATATAGTTTTTAAGAGTTTTTGTCAAATGTCTTATAACATAGTTTAGATATACTAGAAGGTGCTTGCGTAATTTAATGAGATTTATATCAATTTTAATATTTTGTTTTATTCTTTGACTTTGTCTATATAATATCTTTTTTTAGTAATTTTGAGAAAACGATAATATTTTTATTTTTGAATAATTTATAAATTTAATTATATCATAAAAATTTAAGAAAATATATATATCGATATTATTATCAAATTTACTATTTAAAGTCCTCGTTTTTATGTAATTTTTTTAATTCAATATTTTACTTATAATTTAATTTATATTTAATAGCGAAGTAATTTATTTATCGTTCAATAATATAATATTTTGTAAAGATAATAATTAAGTATTTTGTTATAACTAATGATTGTTCTAATCATATTTTAGATTGTTTATATTTTAAAATTAGATATTTATCTCGTATTTGATTATGTTTATCTATAATTAATTACACGAATTCAATAATGAAGTTTTAATAAGTTGTACTTACATACAATTTATTTTTAATCTTGAATTTTAAGTAATATGCATCAATAAACGATACTTTATACATAAAAATGGTTTTTAAGAATTTTTGTCAAATGATTTATAATATAGTGTGATACTTAAAAATTAAATTTAAAAAAAAATTTACTTTCATATCCAACATAATCCCTTTCTTATGTATTTTTGAAATTATGTATATTAATTATAATATTTAAACATTGAATATAATTTATAAAATATTAATCATTTCTCTTAAATATTTAATTTTAATATGTTTCATAGGTAGAAAATAATAAAAATAAATAATTTATCTTTCCTAAAGGGGTGTTTAAGATTGCTTATTTTATGTGATTTTTAACTTATTTCAGTCTGACACTGGTGTTAAGTTAAATGCTAGTGTTTTGATGAGGAAAAATAAAACTACTTATAAACAGTTTTTGATAAGTTAATCATTCCTGACTATGAAAAACTGTTTATTACCAATTTACCATTTTAACCTTATTTATTAATGTTTATTAATTATTAATCTTATTGATATAAATTATTAATTTTATTGATATAAAATTTTGTCAAATATATTATTATAAATGATGAAAAATAAGTTTTTTCGTGTTAAAAAATCAAATAAAGTTAATAAGCAATCCCAAACACTCTCGTAAGGCAATAATACGGAAGACTGTCTTTTTTTGTCATTTTACATATATAAGCAAAATATGTCAAACACTAAAAAACAACTTATCAGTTTGTTGCTTTTTGGTACCACTATAAGCTAATTCAAACACTTTTTACAGAACTCCGATTTGATACCACATAAGTTAATAAACACTTTTACCAAAAAAAAAAAAACATAAGTTGTTTTAAATAAGCAATCCCAAACACCCCCTAAAAACATCTCCAATAGAATATTGGAAATAAAGATTTTAGAGATTTTTACTCCAACAAATTTTTTAAATGAAAAGATTTGAAAACCAGTTCTTCAAAACAGGAGTTATGAAAATTGTTTAATTTCTGTATGTATAAATAATTCTAATGTAAAATTATCTGAATGTGCATAAATTTTCTCAAATATTTACTTGTTATCTTATATTCTTATTCTAGATCTTTGCAATAATCAGTATAAATATATGTTCAGTATAGATCCATTCTCGAAACATATGAACTCTCAAATTGTAATGTCGATTCGAAGTTTTTCAAAAGGGTAGAAATATAATACACGCATTAACTACTCGTTTTTAGCATATTAAATATTTAAACAAATAAATACGAAACTTTTTTTTTTCTTTCCAAAAACGACGTTTTCATTTTGGTAAAAATGATCATAATTTTGTTTATATCACAAACCAAGACGTAAAATAGAAAATGAAAATTTACGTGTCAGCATCCCGTGTTAAAAAAGTCATGCAACATATATCGGTTCCATATTTATACTTATCTGATAAAATTTAAAATTATATGTCATTAATTTCGTCATGAAGTCTGCTTTATTTTTAATATTTTAAGAGTTTAATGAAAACATATTTCTATATTTGTCAAAAATTTAAGAAAGGAATATTATTTATACAGAGGTGAAATAACAACCTCTGTTTTCATATCAGGATTTGATTTGTTATATTTAAGATGGTGATTTGCCCCGATCCGGTGAGGAACCCGGCTCACCCGATTAGTACGGGGACGGGGATTCCCCGCTAAAACGGGTCCTGGGGCCGGGGGCTGTTACTTAAATCGGGGTTGGGGACGGAGATCCCTGATAGACTCAAACTAACGGATATTCTTCATGGGATTTGACTGGAAAAGAGATATTAATCCTCGTACTCGCATGAGACTGGGGTCGGGGCCAGGGGTTGTGGGCTGTTACTAAAAACAGGGGTTGGGGTTGGGGTCGGGGATTACAAAACCCTCCTCATTCCTGCCCCGTTGCCATGCCTAGTTATATTTTAATGAAATGTGAATTAAACCTAATGAAAATGACATAAATCATGTTTATTGTTCAATTTAGACATCCAGAACAAAAGGATGTGACGTGAAGATGGCAACGGAAGTTAATGATTGATTGAATCATTTTTCTGTAATTTGCATAGTGACGATGTGTAGTCAAATACCACAAAATTGTTTATAATAGTAAATGGGATTTGTTATCATTTTCATTGTGACAAGAACTGAAACGATCACATGCTTAAAACGTATTTGTTTTCAAGCAACACAAAATCAGAACCGAAACCAAAAGGTACAACGGTATACATTAAAACCTATAGTGATGCAACAGAGAGATGGAAACATACAGAAAAGAAGAAAACCCGAAGCGAACAACATTAATTCTTGAAAAGCCCAGTTAGCAAAAAGGGGGACTCTAAACAGAAAAATGTAAAACACGTTGTTGTCATGAAAGCTGCGAATCACTCAGCTCGTTGGACGAATTGGTTTTTCAATCCACAGTGCCCACAAAATGGATCTTGTTTTGAGATGTCTCGTTACCCACTTGAAAACTCATAGTTGAAGCTCGGTTTTTTGAAGATCATGCATTAACGATGACTCCAAACCAGAAAGCAAATGGCCCAGATATTAACGGATATAAAATTAATTAAACGAAATATTGGTTAAATGGGCTAAAATAAAACTAAGCAATTAATTAAACCATCTATAGCCCAAATAATTGAAATGAAAATGCAACAAGGAGCCCAATGAAGCCATAAAATGGAGCATTGTGCTAAAAAGGTGGGGGAAAACTAATGTACCAATGACCACCAAGAAAAATGTATCTATATTATAAGCATTTGAAGAAAACTCTTAAAAATAAATTTTTTACACATGAAATATTGTTTATTGATACATATTACTTAAAATTCAATAGTGCGAGTAAATTATTCGTAAGTACAACTTATTAAACCTTAATTTTTGAATTCGTATAACTAATTGCAGATAAACACAATCAAATACAAGTTTGTTTATGTGGTTCAATAATTGAATCCCAAGTGAAATCATAAACTTTTAAAAGAAAAAAAAAGGCAAGTTTGACTAATACTATATTTGTTCTTTTCCAAATTATTCAATGATTTATCATTAAATAATATTATATTTAAATAGACTTTCTTTATGAAAAACCGACATCGTCGGTAAATCTTATCTACCCACTAGATCGACCATTGAGAGATTGTTTGGTAACAACTTAATAAGACTCGCAACATATTTGGTCTGTTATATATGATCGCACGAGCTGATGACAGCCATGCACCACCTGTGTCACTTAGCCGATACAAAGCTATATGATAGCACCCAATTTTTTCATTATCATAAAGAAAGGGAAGTGGCTCGGCTATTCCGACCTCGCCCGTGAAGTAAATCATCGCACCTACGGTCCAACCAATTGCCTATATTTCTTGGTTTTAATAGGACTCCTTACAAGCGTTGTTTCTTTAGTAGTAGCTTAATGATATAGAAAATGTCTTATTCAACAAGCTTTTAGTGGTAGCCTTATGCAGAAAGTCAAGTTTAATCCAAACATGCCTCCCAATTAGAAAAACGCTCATTCCATCTATGAAAATACGTTTCCAAACAAAAACATTTCTTATCTATACAGTCAACTTTATCTATACAAGACTTAGTGAAAAACCAACCAAACAATCCCTAGGTTCATTAAGAGGAAAAGGATTAGAAGAAACACATTAACAATTGTGTGTGTGTATATATATATACATAGGGGGAATAAATACAAACCAAACTATTGTATAAACCGTGAAAACCATCGATTTTATTGTTTATTTTAGTGAATTTTTTTCATGAAATTATTTAATATAATGAATTATTTTCATTAATTCATTTCTTGATGAAAATATTTCATATATTTTTATTTCTATGTAAAAATTAAATTGTTTCATGTATTTCTCGATTTTGATAAATTTTGTTTATTAGAATTAATAGAATGAATATGATAATGTTCATAATTATTTGAAATTAATTATTTAAAACAATTTCATGAAAAAACTTCACTAAGATAAACAATAAAATCAACGGTTTTCACAGTTTATCCCCATATATATATATATATATATATATATATATATAGAGAGAGAGAGAGAGAGAGAGATAATGTTTACTTTGCAAACCACGTTATTTGTATAAAACGTACAAACCTCATTCAACCAATCAAAATTTTTCATTTTATTCATTTTTTTGTAATTATGACATGTTGATTAATCATTTTTATTGTAGAGGTTGTTAATCATGGATATTATCATCTTCATTATTTTAATTTTAAAGAAATACATGAAACAACTTCATTAAAATTTCATTAAATATTATACGAAACAATTTTATAACCATATATGAAACAACTTCATCAAAAAAGTATTATATGGAATAATTTTATGAAAAAATTTCATAAGATTAAACAATGAAATTGACGGATGAGAATGGTTTGTACAAATTGGATGGTTTGCATTTGATCGTTCCTCATATATATATATATATATATATATATATAGAGAGAGAGAGAGAGAGAGAGAGTGTAAACCCTCTAATTTATACAAACCAAACAATTATGATCAAGATATTTATGAAATATGATCATAATTTATTCATTATAATCAACGCCTTAGATGGTTGGTTGTCATCGGTTTATATTAATTGAGGTTTGCAAATCAATGAATCATTGCTCCTATTTACATATACATACATATATAGATACGGATTGAGTTCCAGCGAAAAGCAAAGTTACGGTGATAAAAGGGAAACAATGGATCTTCACTCTTGTTTGCAAAGTTTGTAGTAACACGACGGTTCATAAATAATCAGTGCTCTATATTTATATATAATTTCAGTCAAACGTTCGAAGATCAACAAATCTTAAGCATTATTTAGTAAATTAGAAGCAGTAAAAGATGAAAAATCAGAATCAAAACCTAAACTATGAATGCGAGTTGTTCAACTCCAGTTCAAGAGCTTCTTCCAACAAAACCTCAGACTGATCCATCAGATCTGGACTTAATCTGAACATGAGAACACAAAATTCCATCTGATTCAGAGCACCATCTCCATCAAAATCACCTTCTCTCAACATACTCAACAGATCCTCATCGCTCAGATCCTGCAGCCCCAAAACCGATGAATTGTTCTTCAAGCTATCAAACGTAATCACACCTTTCTCAGCGTCCATCAACAGCCGGAATCCGTTACATAATTCTCCAATCAGACCATCGCCGCCGAGCTTTTCCGCCATTAAAGGTAAGAAATCCTGAAACTCTGATTGATTCTTTGATTCCGCCATTGAAATTGGAAAGAGATGTGAGGGTGAGAGATTGTTGATAATGAAGAAATCAGCCTCTGAATTGGATGTGTATATAAACGGACAAATGCGAAGCGGACCGATTCCAAATTGTAGAATTTTTGGGGGACGGTATTTTCATGGAAGGAGGAGGTCGATGGCTTTTGGAATTGACCTCTCCTAAGGATGCTTCTCATTTGGGGGATATTCCAAATTTCCAATCAAATTAGCCCTGTGAAATTACAATTCTACCCCTACAAAATTTGTGGAAAATTTTGTTTTTTATAGCCTTGTCGACATTGATCTGAACATTTTTATCCCCAAAGTCAAAATATCACGTTTTTTATACCATTTCCGTCCAACTAATCCCTGTGTTTTCACATTTTTGGTCATCAACAAAGGTTTATAACCTGGTAAACATTTTTTGAGTACAAGCTATATTTCCCTTCACCGTCAAGACGACCACCGTTGTAGCCATTAGCTAGTCTTCTGTTGCCGGAAAGCATTTAGGAGCCGGTTACCAAACACTACAAACAATAGTCACCACCCCCACGTTATTGGGTAACAGTCTCGGGCATTTAAATGGATTGTTGGGAGGCGTCTTTTACCTGGTAAACGCTTACCGAACAAGGGGTTGTTTGGTTGGTTTTTCATTTTAGTCCTTATGGGTTTGTGTGGATTAATGTATGTATAGATTGAGAAAAAAATTTGTTTGGGAGGGGGCTCCCGTAGATGGAAGGTGCGTGTTTTTTATTTAGGAATGACAAGTTTGGTTTTTTGCATAAAGCTCCTCTCTATAAGCTTACTGAATAAGCCATTTTCTATATCATTAAACTACTACCAAGATGTGAGTCTCGTTAAGCTTATAAGCCGCTAACAAGCAAGCCCTAAGAGACTTCCCTTTCACTTACCGGGTAAGATTATCTATCCTTGTTATGCTTCTTACAAAGTAAGATTCTCGGTCCTTACAACGAACAGTCGGTCACCCATTTAGGCAAGTGACAACACATAAATGCTTACCCAGTAAGCGTTTGGTAAATGGACCCTTAATCTGTCATGTCACAATAATGTGGTATCTGTGGTGGTATGAAACTGTTCCTAGAAAACCCATCTTTCTTTCAAAAGCACAAAATGATCAAAAATCAAAACCATTAAGCTACGCAAAAACACTACCAAATAGTCATATAAAGCTGATGGGTCTTATTAAGCTGCTAACAAACAGGCCCATAAGAACATGGCAAATTACAATAATGCCATTCAATATATCTCATTCGAAAGCAAGGTTTAACGATAAAATATAGCGATACCATTCCTCTATCTCGCCTATATCATAAAGCAATTAAAAGTCGAGTCTAGAATCATAATTACCGACAACTAACAACAAAACGAACCTTACTTTGAAGCAAGCAGAAGGACGACAACAACAACGGTCGTTAGCCACCGGCCGACCTCGTCTGCCGCCGCAACTCCTCATCGGCATTTCTCAGGAACTGATCCCAACCACTTCCTTCACTTGTATCCAAATAATCATAAGGAACTGCAGTTTTCAAACCTGGCCTTACTCCACATTGACTCTCCACAATTCTGAACTCCATTTCTCTACTCAACTGCTCAGATTCCAGTTCTTCCCATGTAAACAACAATGGCAATGTAAATTCACACCATGGATTGAAATCAAGAAGCTTCACATCTCCATTTCTTTTCACGTAAACGTCAAACGCGTAACTTTCCGACTCGAATCTTGTACTCACCTCGCCCGTATAGAAGATTTTGATCACGGGTTCCAGCTCGTGCTTCTGCTCGGTCAAAATAGGGTAAAATCCAGTGACTTCCCGCTGGGAAATTCCAACTAGGATGCGGTTGTGTATGAAGCAACGGAATTCCATTTCGGGGTGGAGAGACGGGTACCATTTTCGAAGAGCGAGGAAAAAACGAGTGGGTCGCCGGATACTGCAGTCGCTGCATGAATCATAAGCGTGACATAGATCGTGGACGAGTGAGTCGGAAGATTTAAGCAAGAGTGTGATTTCACTAAAAGATGTGCATTTGAGGCTCCCGTTTGGGCTTATCCAAGCGGAGTCTTTAGGGGAGCTCCAGTTGAGCTTCGGGAAGATGGCACCACCGAGGGTTTCGATTGATTGGTTGATTTGGGATTCGAGTTCCGGGAAAGAAGGAGGCGGTGAAGTTTGTTCTGAATCATCATCTGATGGTTCTTCTGATATAACATAATCTTCTTCTTCTTCGGGTTTATGGATTCTGTTGGGCAATGCATCATCATTGGAGATGGAAAGTGGGAGAAGGAAGGGGCCTGAATCATCGAGAAGATACTCGATGAATGATTCGGGAAGCTCGTGAATCACGGTTTTTATGGATGCAGATTTGAATCTTGGATACCATTCTTGAATTTGACATCTATTTACTTCTTCTTCCTTCATTTTTTCGATAAAGATGTGTCTTCAAAGAAAACTAGAAGTGCCTTTCTTGCTTCCAATCAACAAAACTAGAAGTGGGTCAAGGACCTAACGATTTGAGGATGTAGAATTGCTTGATCAATGCTGAAAAAGAGATAGTAGTAAATTACAACAATCGGGAAGTCCGTTATTAGTATCGGAAACAAAACCGAACACCCAAAGACTACAATAAAGTTGCATTTCATAGTTTTGGTCTTGCTATTAGAATTTAGGGCTGGGGATTGATGTTCATATAGGAATTAGGAAATGCAAAATGCCATTCTGTAAGGTCCTAAAAGTCTCAAAAACCTCTTTTGTCGATATCTTTGAACCGTGGATATCCGGATCAGCTTATGCGCACCGACTAATCCCCCAGGCGCCCACATATAGCGTGAAGTCATTTCAGATGAACCTCCATGGCCATAAGGGCTTAGGCAACGCCTCGATTCGAACACATATGAGATTTCCACTAAATCCCCTGAGCTTTAACCGGTACGCCATAACCCAAGTGGCTTGATTCTTGCATGTTCATACCGCAAATAGTTCAAACATCTTATATTTCGATTATGATTTCTCTTTAGGAAAAATTGATCTCCATTTCTTCCACAATCAGAAGAAATTTATCAAAACCAAATGTGCAATTTAAAAAGAAAATCAAAGTGGTGCAAATATTTGAGCAAAGGGTTGATTACTGGCAACCCCGACCGACCCTACACTGAACCCGCTCCCTAGGAACCATACGTGAGGAGGCATTTTAGGGCTGATTGAGCGACTAGGGCTTTGCAGAGGGGTTTTAGTGCTAATATATTGACGGAAGCACCAGAGACGGACGCAGTTTTTTTTCAAGTGGTGGTACAATTTGACTATAAAAAAGTATCTTTTTTTTCCAAGATATTAGTATAGATTTGTTGGATGGTTCCTTGTCCTTACATAAAAAAGACCAATGTTCGAGACCGGTCTATATATATTTTAGAAAACACAAGAGGTATAAAAGAACACCAAAACTTAAGCTAAAAACAACAGATTTGATAACCGACTCGAACATGGGCCTTTTATACAAAGGCAGGATCATTTACCATCTTAACCATTGAAGTCTTGTGTCAACATCTCATCATCAAAAACTATGTGGTGGCATCCAACAAAACAACACGGTGGCACCCTTCATAAACGTAATTTTTTCCCTAATGAAGAACCATGAAGAGGTGGCACGTGCCACTGTATCTATCCATGTGGGGAATCACATTAGCTATCTAGAAGAAAGATCGTGTGAGAATAAGAGTTAAAGTTAGAAGTGTAAGAAGGGATTTGGACCTTTGATCACTTTTAATCTCAAAACATTCCATGAATTGCAGTTTAGAAAGAATTTGATCTAGTGGTTCTCTTCGATTAGGATTGATCCAACGGTAGAAATCCCTTCTCATTCTCACAATAACTTTCATTCTCACCGGAACCCAACCCAACCCGAAACTATCTATACATTCATATAATGGAAGTTGAAAGTTTTCAGACCTTGACTGTTTTATATTTCAAATGGGAAATATATTTAATTCTACCATTCATCACAAGAGATGAGAGAGCTTAATTGAATCAGTGGAACAGGGACATTTTACAGAACTACAGAAGGCAGAAGCATTCAATTCCCAATTTTCAGAGATTCAATGTCAATTTGGCCAACATATGCTAACATATTCGAAACATAACAGATCAACAAAAGCATAATCCAACATAATAGTCGATCTCAATTTGAAATGTTGTCAGAAGCATATTCCAACTTATGAATGCACGATCATATCAATTACCGTAACGTTTTTGAAACAACGAGTCGATGTCAATTTGCCCACCATATTCCAACAATTTGCGATTTACTAAACCCTAAAAATGATCGACTAAAATCGACTTACCGAGAGGTGAGATCAAGCCGCCGGCGAGGAGTAGCAGGGGCGGAGGTCGGAGGCTAGCATCCGGTGAGCAGCACGCCGGCAGGGAGCAGAAGGCGACCACGGGGGAGGGGATTCACGTGTGATTGAGTCGAGTGCAGGAAGAAGTGAGGTTGAGGCGTTGATATTGGGCCTGGTTTGGGCCTTCGGGAGAGACTCCACATTTGTATTTCAAATCAGTTTTTTTATTCACCTGGATATTCAACCCGTTATTCGAGCCGACTAATCTTATGACGATAACATGTTTTACAGATAGCTCAAAGTCAACATATTTGAACCTCCGTGGCCACAAGAGGATTTTTATTCCTTCTTGGATTTTAACCTGGGACCTCCTGATACTTTTTGACCTTTGAAGACAAGTTCAAACCAATCAGGCACAACCCTTGTGGTTGTATTTCAAATCAGTTACAATCTCATCTTTGGTTTGTTGGCTTGTCCGCATTTGAAATCCATTCCAATCTCATGTTTGGTTCGTTTTCATTTGTGGTATATCCCTGATATGAGGTCCATGTTACCTGATAAACCAAGGGTTTGAATCTTATATACTGAATTAAAGATACTAAAATTCACACATTGGTTATTGTCGACATAATGACAAATATTCGCCTTCATTTGTGGCATATGTTGCTTGATAAACAAAGGGTTCGAATCTCATATATTAAGGTTCTTATTTGACATAACAGTGGATCAAATATTTCATTCTAAGATTTGAGGGGTTAGTTTTGTAACATATGATGTGTTATTCATCATGAACGTGTGAGTGTGATCCATGATGAATAACACGTTTCATAATCATCATTAATGTGTTATTCATGATAAATATTCATCTGGAAGAGGGACGTGTGGTGTGCAGTGGACAATTTTCGAGTTTCTAACGAAATTTCTTCTTTAAGATTTGATCCTAAAAGTAAAGTGATTGTGGGAAAATCTTTTTGTTGTCATGTTTCATCACTTTTTGTAGGTTTTGCATCGTTTACCTTTAGAGTTCGTTTAGTTTGACCAAGGGGTTGTTTGACAGTTGCTGAATGGTTTGGTGCGGAATGATTAAGAGGCTCTAATGATATAGTGCAAAATGAAATATAATTGTTTACAATGAAATTAGGATGCTTAATGATTAAGGGATGCTCATGATACAAAATCATTCAAAGGGTTTTAGAGCCATTAAGAAACATGTTTTTTTGTTGCCAAACAAGATTCACCTATTAAGGATTAATAGGTTATCTCTCAATAGAACTATTAAGAAGTAAACAAACAACCCCTAAATGTTTTCAGGAGATATGGATTCCGTGAATAAAATTGGAACAAGGGGGATTTGGAATCTTTTGTATGTTTGCTTTGTAGGATTTAGAACGAACCGAATTCAATTCTTTAAAAAAAATTATAAAAATAAATAAATTACTTTTATTAATTACTTATTACAAAATAAATGTTTTTTTTAACATATTTTAAAACAACACGAGATCTTTAAATCCCACTAAATACAAACTATCCCCATGATATTTTTAAATCCCATATTTGTAAAATTTCACTGAAATCACGAGATTTAAACTCCAAACTTTCCTTTAAACCAAACGTGAGATCGAAATAGAATCTAATTTCAAATCCCACCAATATTCTTTTTAGATATCTTTATCATCTATGATTTTCTTTAAAAGTCGAAATAAATTATTCAAACATCCAAACAAAGTCAGCAGGTTATGATTTGTAAATGGATTATAGGATGGGCAATTTTATCTGATCAAGGGTTGGGATGCAGAAACCAGCTAGCTCTCGGTTCGAGTGGCATTTCATTCCTAACCACAACTTATCAGCTAATTCTTCAACATCAGTCGGTTCTAACCTCTACTTAGTTTCATCCTGGTCATGAATATATCATCTAGGTTCAGGTCCAGCACAGCGTCAGAAAAGACAAAACAAATGAAGCCAAATAAAACCGAAACCCAAAATATTTATTTGAAATCATTATTATTATTATTATCTTGTACCAAATAACAAAATATATGGTAGGGGTAAAAAAGAGAATTCACACAAACATTATTCAAAAAATAAGAAAAATTAATTAATTAATTACTTTATGGATGTTAGAAAGTCAAACACATGCATTATCCTGGTCCCACTTGGTGTTATTATTGTTTTCTATATTTTAGGTTAAAAAGTCATTAAACATTATGATGCAACTTGGGATATAAATCCAGGATTAAGAAATACTAGAGAAATTACATTTTGGTATATAAGATGTAAAGTTTTAAACATTTAAGTATCCAAATAATCGGTTAAAGTATTAACCAGTTATCATGCTAATGTGGCAAGTGATGGAATGAAATTGAGTTGAATAACAAATAATAGTGAGTTGAATACTACATCATTCGTCACATCGACATTGTAACCGGTTAATGTTTCAACCGGTTATCCGAGCACTCAAATGTTTAAAACTGTACATGTTATGTATCAAAATGAAAGTTTTGAAAGTATGTTACCCAAAACAGGAATCAAGTTAAAGTACGTTACTTTTTTATACAATTTGTCATTTTATTTATTTTAAAGTAAGTGTCTACTTTTGAAAGTAGATAATTGAATTTTCAAATCTTTCTTTAATTAATACACAAATATTTAAGAGTTTTAAAGAGGGAAAAAATAAATAAGGGTAAATATGTAATTTGATTAACAAAAACGTGTAATAATTATGTATGCTTAAAACTGTGTGTCATATTTTTCTTTAACAGATTTATTTCCATCCAAAACATTCTGCGAACCAAACGCCCCTAAAAGTTGTGAAGATGGAGAAACTAAATAAGAGTAAAATTTTCATTTGGTTAGCAAAAAAGTTTTATAACAAAACTGAATGATTTTTTATTCTGGATCTCCCTTAACCATTCAGCGCCCTAATTTCGTTTTAGATAATTAACAAATAATTACATTTAATTTTGCACTATATCATGAGAGTCTTTTAATCATTCTGATCACTTAATCATTCTACATCAAATCATTTATCAACTGTCAAACAACCCCTTATTTTCGGGCGGAGGGAGTAGTAAATTCTATAAAATTTAATACACTATTTTTGGACAAAAAGTTGATTATTGGCAATCCTGGCCGGTCCCACACGGAACCCGCCTTCAAGGACATTGATTTTAGGGGCATTTTTGTCTCACACAGCTACTAATGCTAGTTCGAGGGGAGTATCGAACCTGAGACCTATCTTGTACTTAGACAAAATCATCTCATCTTTTACCAACTGAGCTACACGTCAGAGGCTAATTTGTTCTAATATAATTATTATTTATAATATTAAATAATAATTAAAAAAATTGAAATTCAACTTTTTATTTTTTAGAAAAAAAAATACGCACTTCATTTATAAAGAAAAAAAAAAGTAGGAACACGGTATTAGAAAAAATAAAGTTTGACTAGTGTTGCAAACAAGTCATCCAACTTTTCAACCAATGTTATCTACATATATATAATTCTATTAAAATAATATAAATATGAGACGATTTCATATATCAGATATAATATCTGATTTTTTTTCCTCCAAATCAGATACATGTAGGACCCCTTTCATACCTTCTGATCAAAATCACCTCCAAAAAGTCAAATTTCCCCCTTTCGGGGTGATTTGAATGGTCATTTTGTGAAAATATTCTGAAAAATGGTCATTTTGTTAAGGTGTAGTGTATAAAATGGTCATTTTGGTCAATTTCCCTAAATTAAATCCATTTCGATACTCATTTGCAACTGATTTGATAACCATTTTAAAGAGTTGTTTATTTAGTTTGGACGACGTAAATTAAGGCGAAAAATGATCCAACCCTCTCTCTATCTCAATCAAACACATCAATCTCTCGTCATTCAATTAGACATATTTATTCAAACAAATAACTTAACTCGTGTAATAGGTAAACAACCCCAAAAAACAAAAATCGTTTTATACATTTGTCCTCTTCCGTTGCATCCCTCACGCAACGTTAGAGGCCATCCGATGGGTACACGAAAGTGACGTAGTCGCTTTGATCGGTTAATAACATGGTAATTGCCCCTGCCAGTACTGAAAGTGATACACGTTACATCATGATTTTGAATCTAAAGAGAGATTTCAAGAAATGACAGATTTATTCACTCTATCAATAACCAAGCCGGATCTGGTGTATCATAAGAGATTTGCCTTTTCTATTGATTCCTATGGATTGGATCCATAACAATTCACCCCTATTTGTATGGTCCGTTCTAGTGACAACATCGTTCCTAGCTTAGCTCTCGTTATTAAATCCATTGGTACTCTGCATCTTCACGAAGAATTTAGTCTCACTGGGTCCATGTCGGAAACAGCGGGACAATCGTCACACCATTAAATAATCACACAATGTTATTTATAAGTCATAACCACCCCACTAACTCACCACCCACCGCCTTTGGCACTTGGCCCCCACCCACCAACACCTCTTTTTTAAAAGGTGTATCAGATTACATCTAGACTGATTTTGATAAATTATAACTGTAAGAAACTAGTAATGATAAACTCAATAGCTACAACTGTTATTGCTTCTTGAATTAAACCTTGAACAGATGAAGTTTTCCACCACATCTCCCAGAACCTGTTTCTTTTATTCAAAGTTTAATAACTTATAAATTAATACGTTTTAACATTTAAATAAATGGATCATAGATTTAAAAGAATTGGTTTAATTCAACACATATTAGATATTGGGTTTGAACGACCAATTCAAATTTATTTACTTTGAATGACTTATCGAATTTAATTTAATAGATGGTAGATTGGACCAGTTATGTTAATTATATATTACTAGTGTGGGAACCGTGCGTTGCACGGTAACATGAATACTTTAATTAATTATCTGAAGATTGTTTATATAAATATATATTAGTTGTTAATAGAATCATCAAGAAATAGTATTCAAATAATTCAAAAAAATTAATAAAATCTAATTAGTGAAATTTTAATATATATATATATATATATATATATTTATTTATTTATTTATTTATACTATCTTATTAAGCAAATTTAGCAAAAGTCTTAAAGTCTT